AATTCTGGATTAAAAGATCGTCATATTGCGTCATCCACGTGACTTCATTATGACTGGTCAATCGCTCCGTTGACAATATACAACTTAAATCTAACGTTTCTGTAAAATCTTCTAAAGTTTCAATCCAGCTACGATTTTATCTTAGAAAATTTTTAATATGATAAAATGATTGTTTAATCTAAAAAATAAATTATATTACTATAATGAAAAAATATTAAACTTATAATAAGATATACTTACAGGATTATAATCAGGTGAATATGTTGGTAGAAATTCTAATATTATACCTTTCTCTTTACATAAAAATTTTAATATTGCTCTTTATGAATCGATGCATTATCTAAAATTAATATGCTATATAGTCCAGGAAATCAGTTCATTTTTGGTAACTATAATAATAAATAATATTAAGTTTAATTTATTAGTTATTACACAAATAATAAATATAAAAACATATTGTACCAATATATATTTTACAAAAAATTCAAAATCTTTTGTACTCATCGGACTCTCTTGAATTCTATAAGCTAATAATTCATCTATACATAAAGCGTCTTCGATTGTAATCTCTGTTCTCTAATAAAAAAAGAAGGTTTTTTTGCCTGAATTCCTGTTAAATTCCATCCATATCTTCTTAATAATGACCTTTTGTCATATGCAGATTCATTACAAAATATCAATTGTCTTGAAGAATATTGAGAAATTCGTAAAATATAATCTGCTTGATCAATCTCATTTCTCTCTTTTGTTAGCTTTAAATAAATAAAATATTTTGTTATTTTTTTATGATTAGATTTACATATAGTATTTAAAAAAATTAGATCTAAATACTTGTTTATATGTAAATCCAAGCTGATGTAAAGCACACTATATTATAATATATCCAATAATACGTCCAAGCTACAATTCTATTTCGTTTTATAATTTCCATATATACTAATCTATCTTTTCATTTAGTAAAAATTCAAGGTATTTAAATCATTTTCTGAAAGTAAACGTGGTTTATAGTATAATGAAGGTAATGGTTCTACTGAACCATATTTTTGAAAAAAAAGTATTATTCTATATACAGAGGTTTTGCTAATTTTAAAATGTTTTGCTATTTTTCTTTGCAAATATTTAAATAACTATTTTTCAATTAATTGCCAGCGAAAATAAGATGTAATTTTTAATTTCGTCATATGAAAAAAAATAATATGATAAATAATATGTGATTTTTTTTATTTGTTTACAAAATTTATTGCATTTTTGTGTATTATGTATGTCATGAGTCACACATTAAATTTACTGGGTGGTCTGTAAGTAATAAAATTTGCTGTAAATAAAACAAATAATAAAATTTATTAAATTATCATAATTACTTTAAGACAACTAAAATTTCTCTTTCATCATCTCATAAAACTCTATATTGTATCTATTAGGACTTCTTAATGATTAAAAATTTTAAATTATTATTCCTGTATAATTATTTTATTGAAACTTTTAATACATTTAAGAAAAATATTAATAAAAATTTTTACTAATAAAAGGGAGTTATATATTCTAATTCAGATACTCCAGACAACTATTTATTAAAACACTAAAAAAAGAAATTATTCCTGCATAATTATATATTAGTTGTACTTTAATCACGTTTAATATAAAGATATATATCATTTAATCAGTATAAAAATTTTAAAATTACCAAATATATCAATCAGTTAATTATTATATAAAATTATTCTGCATAATTATATATTAATTGTACTTTAATCATGTTTAATATGAAGATATATATCGTTTAATCAGTTTAAAAATTTTAAATTATTAAATATATCAATCAGTTTGTTTTTGTTGGAAAAAATTTTTTAGTGACGTAGTAAACAAAGTAAATAAGAGCTTCTATTTCTTGTTCGAGGTGGATACTACTCACTTTATTATTACTATTGAGGCCATTTTTAGTTGTATTAAAGGACTGGTCGATATCTACAAGAGCATTGGGAGATAGCGAAGAAATCTCAGGTACTTTTCCTTTATCGTTAGTCAGCAAAGTAGTAGTTTCAATATCCATATCAGCAGAGTGTTGTTTTCTGAATATTTTTTGAAGACAAAGCTTTTGAAGGTTGGGAGGGTTCAAGGAACTGTTTTTTTGCTGGTTGTTGTTGTTGGTCATTGTTTGGAGAAGAAGAGCAAATCTTATTAGACTTGTTATTATTATTATTGTTTCTGCTATTTTTCTAATCATATTGGAAATGGGGATCAGCAAAAAGAGTTTTTTTTCATCAAAATATTTTAAGCTTTCTAAAATGCTTTATAAACAATTTTATACTTATAATTTAAAGGATAATAAAATAATTATTTAAATTTATATATATTAATAAACTTATATTTAAATACTTTATGCATAAACTACATATAGTATTTGATTATCTTTAATTATTTCTGCATAATAATAATAATCAAATTTGATACAATTCATATTAAACCTCATTTTTATTAACAACGAAAAAAAAATATATTACTTACTATCTAAATGAGTTTAAATGTCTATCCGCCAATACAGAATCTTTATTATGACAAAAGGAAACTTCAATTTCTTGAAATGGCTCCTTAAATGATATAACATATGAAGAATTTGCATCTTCAATTTTAATCACGTCTCTTAACCAATCAAAAAAATTATTTAAGAAATTTAAGCATATAGTTGCATCCCACATTTTATCTTTTCCTCTAACCATTCTTGGTATTTCTAAAGTTTTAAGTTCTTGTACTGCACGTAAGTTTCCATCATCATCTCTAAATCCAACAATTATTTTTGGTATACCAATAAGAAATGATTGTGCCCAGAATTTAATTAACTTAAATCTAAATTAAAATAATTAAGTTAATGTTATATTTTATAAAAAATTTAAGAATCAATTGAATTTTACACACCTTTCGAATACAAATTTATCCCTATCTGAATCAATAATTTTAGAAGTTTTCAATTCAATATATCTACCAACAGGATTTTCAGGATGTGGTGGTTTAATATCTATAAGACAATCAACCTCTGCGCCCATAATTAATTTCTTTGTTCCCAATGTTGTTTTAGCCACAGAACAATATTGTATATTCGTATTAACCACAGCATTTTTACGAGCTAATAATTCAGGATCATTTGGAGATTTAATTTCAGACGCAGGTACATTGATTGTACTTAAAGCTTCAAATCTATATCCCCAATACCCCATTAATTTAGCTCTTGGAGAATTTCCGGCATTGTTTCGTCGTGTATATTCCGTTTCATGTTCTTCAATGAAGCTGTAAAAATTCGATTAACAAAAAGTTTAATATTTTGATGAATGATAACAAAAGATAAATAATCGAGTAACTTACATTGTGTTCTAGAATTCAAAATGGTTAAATAAAAATAAAATTTTAAATACAAAGAATTTTTTAAAAAATAAACACAAAGTCGCGATTATTCTAACATTATATAATGTAGCTCCTAACTCCCAGGGTTCTTTCTTGTTATATGGAGCACATAGTAACTTTGTGAAAATTCCCCTCCAAGAGATCTATGCAAATAAAAAAAAGAAAACTTTATATTAAGAGTTCATATTAGAATAAAATAGAATTAATTATAAAAATTTTGTAAGCTTACGATATCGGCTTTTATTACATCCTTATTGGCACTAGTTCTTTTCAAATGATTCAACGCATCCAATAAAGAATGAATTGGTTCAGGTCCTGAATTTTCCCTTTGAATAAAGTTTTCATAGCCAGCTGATAAATTAAAATCCTTCTCTAAATTAGGAGGATAATAATATCTCTATAAAAAAAGCTTTTGATAATTAATCACTTCTTTAAAGTAGTAGAATGCAAAAGTGACTAACTAATTTACCAGTTCTCTATCGTCCATATGTAATTGACGAGTTTCATCATGACTAAAACTAGTAATTTCTACAGGCTGTTTAAATTCAACACAGTTTGTATTAAATCTTTTCAGAGGATAGATGGGAAATTTATGAACCTTGGGAACAGGATTAGTCGTATTCATTTGCAACAACCTTGATTCCTTTTTTTATTGGTTAAAGCTGCTCTAAAATATGAGCAAAACCTCTTTTCACGTGATCAAAAATTAAAGAGAATGTTTTCTTGCAAATTTATGCATATTATGTTGTATAAATTTATTTTTAAAAAGATTTATTAAAAAAAAATATAAATAAATTAACTTTTCAATATTTTATAGTAGGTAAATTAAAAGAGATCCTCGATCGGTGTTTAAGAATCACCAGCACCACTCGCCTTCCAAGCACTCAGTATCAATTCAACGACCTGCGAAACTCCAACGTTATTTTTCACTTGGGTAAATAATGTTGGCCCATTCTCTCTATAAATAAGATATTTGTTTAGGAGCATGTAGATTTCAAAGGATGAGTAGATATTTTTCATTTATTTTTTTACCTCATTTTACGAGCATCTCTTTCCATCACTCCTAAATCTGCACCAACGATTTCTGCTAAATCAGTTTTGTTTATGATTAAAAGATCAGACTGTGTAATGCCTGGTCCTCCTTTCCTTGGAATTTTGTCTCCTCCTGCCACGTCAATGACTGTATGAAATGATGATGAATTAAATTTACGATGAAATAATTTCGACGCGTTTGTCACGTGATTTAACTTACCGTAGATGATATAATCCGCCAACTCTCGAGAATAATTGGCTACACAATCATTTGTAAATTAGTATTAACGTTATTCTTTCCATCTATTTTTATTCTCAACACATACCAGCTAAATTATCACCCCCACTTTCGACAAGTAATAATTGAGCGTTAAATTTAGCATGTAATTCTTCCAGAGCACCTAAATTAGCGGAGATATCTTCTCTAATAGCGGCGTGTGGACACCCGCCAGTTTCTATCGCACGAATACGTTCAGCTGGTAAGGCATTGTTGCGAACTAGGAATTCCGTATCCTCTTTAGTAAAAATATCATTTGTCACCGCTGCAACGGAATATTGTTCTCTCAGAGCCTTGCATAATGCTAACATTAATGCCGTCTTTCCTGATCCAACAGGACTTTAAAGTGAAAATGTAAATTAATTCATTTTTCGGAAAATGCTTTTTTTTTTCTTTTTTTTTCCTCTCACTTACCCCCCAATTCCAACAGTAAAAGCTCGTTCTTTCCAGTTACGATTTCCGTATTTTGGTAATTCCCTTTCATTATAGTTACCAGGATTGTCTAATTGTTCATGAGTGTGTCCATGTTCTCCTACGCCATGATCGTGAGAATGTCCATGAGCACTACTTTTTGCTGAAGTCATATGATCTTCAAACTGGCAAACCTCCTTTTGTTCGGTAGACATTTTTTCTTTTCAAAAAAAAAAAGTTTTTTCGAGGAAAAAAAAATTATAATTGCTCGATATTTAAGGATGCATTCTAACGCGAAACATAATTTGTGGGGGATCAACCAATTCGATAATCTTTTTCTGGTAAATGCTAGCATAACTATGGCATACCATTCCGAAATGGGTTGCCATAAATTTAACAAGATCAACTAAAATCTTAACTTTGTTTATCAATTTACACCGAGATCTTCCCACGAATTTAAAATCTCGACCTTATCAATGTTAGGACACATGTGTTTGAAATATCGATACAGTTAATTTACCTTTTCTTATGAAATTAACCCGAAAATCGCATCATATATTTGTCCTTTCTATTGGGGCGATAATCAGTTTAAGTACCCCAATTAAATTAAATAAATTCACTTTCTTTTGAAAGGTTTTTTTTACTTTTTCACCAAAGTGTTTTTATATTTTCTCACTTTTTTTTACGAAACCTGCAATAATGAGATTAATACCAAGAGAATTAGATAAACTTGTTCTCCATCAAGTTGGTTATTTAGCTCAAAAACGCTTAGCTCGTGGAGTTAAATTAAACCATACCGAAGCAGCAGCTTTAATTGCTTCACAATTAATTGAAATGATGAGAGATGGAACGAATACTGTTGCGCAATTGATGAATACGGGAAAGCAAATGTTGGGAAGACGTCATGTTCAACCCGACGTTTTAGAAACGTTGTCTGAAGTTCAAGTGGAAGGAACCTTTCCCGATGGATCTTATCTTGTAACTGTTCATGACCCAATTTCCTCTGATGATGGGAATTTAGAATTGGCTCTTTATGGAAGTTTCTTACCAATACCTGATGATTCTAAATTTGTCTTACAAACTGTTGAAGCGAAGGCTGAAGATGCACCTGGTGCTCTCGTTGTTAAACCTGGTAAAATTGTTTTAAATGAAGGAAGAGCTAGAGCAAGCCTTAAAGTTGTTAATACCGGGGATAGACCCATACAGGTAACAAAAAAATCTATTATAACACGTGAATTCTGTTAGCCAATAGAAAATAAATCCGCAATTATTCACGTTAAAATATTGTTTTCCTATCCCATTTCTCAATGATTAATAGGTTGGATCTCATTACCACTTCATTGAAACAAATCCTGCTCTTAGTTTTGATAGACATTTATCTTATGGCAAAAGACTTGATATTCCAGCTGGTTCCGCAGTACGTTTCGAACCGGGTGAAACAAAAACCGTCACACTTGTCGATATCGGTGGAAAAAAATGTATTTCCGGAGGAAACAATGTTGCCACCGGAGTCGTTGATGCTTCGAAAATCGACAAAATCGTTAAAAATCTTATCGTTAAAGGTTTCAAGCATGCTTCACTGACGGACAAATCATCTTTAGCTTGTACTCCTTATTCAATGGATCGAAAAGCCTATGCTGATACTTATGGACCAACTGTTGGTGATCAATTAAGGTTAGGAAATACCAATTTATGGTTAGAAATTGAAAAGGACCATACGATTTATGGTGACGAATGCAAATTCGGTGGTGGTAAAGTTTTAAGAGAAGGAATGGGTCAGGCTACTTCGATATCCTCTGATGATGCCTTAGATTTGGTTATCACAAACGCTATAATTATTGATTATACCGGCATTGTTAAGGTAATTATCAAATACGACATAATTTTCTAATAAAATTTACTAACATGTTTATGATTTCAGGCCGACATTGGTATCAAAAACGGTATAATCGTTGGTATAGGTAAAGCTGGTAATCCTGATGTGATGGAAGGTGTTACTCCTGGTCTTATTGTTGGTCCTTCTACAGAAGCACTTGCCGGGGAAGGTCGTATCTTTACGGCCGGTGCAATTGATGCTCACGTTCATTTCATTTGTCCACAACTTATTCCAGAGGTTTGATTTTAAAAAAAAAAACTCCTTTCATTCTTTCTATGCTTCAAGTGCTCTTTAACCTTAATTCCTCACATCTTGTAGGCTATCTCATCAGGTATTACGACTTTGGTCGGAGGAGGTACTGGTCCAAATACTGGTACAAATGCCACAACTTGCACGCCAGGAAAATCACATATCGAGATGATGCTTACCGCTACCGATGGTATCCCAATGAATTTTGCTTTCACTGGTAAAGGAAATGCATCGGACCCTATTGCATTAAGTGAACAAATTAAAGCTGGTGCTGCAGGATTAAAATTACATGAGGATTGGGGTACAACTCCAGCAGCAATTGACACTTGCCTGAGCGTCTGTGATGAATTTGATGTACAAGTAAGTTTTCCATATCTCGTGTAAAAATTTATTTACAAGAAACTCAACATTAAAAAATAAATATCCCTCATTCACTTACTTAACTTAGGTGACTATTCACACTGATACACTTAATGAGTCTGGTTTCGTGGAAAATTCAATTGCAGCCTTCAAAGACCGAACAATCCATGCATACCATTCAGAAGGTGCGGGAGGAGGTCATGCTCCAGATATTATCAAAGTGTGCGGTGAACCAAATATAATTCCATCATCCACAAATCCAACTCGACCCTTCACTGCAAATACACTTGATGAACACGTAGATATGTTGATGGTATGTCATCATTTAGATAAAAATATACCTGAAGACATAGCATTCGCGGAATCACGTATACGAGCCGAAACCATTGCAGCAGAAGATGTTTTACATGACCTTGGCGCTATTAGCATTATAAGTTCTGATTCTCAAGCTATGGGCAGAATTGGTGAAGTTGTATTAAGAACTTGGAAGACAGCTCATAAGATGAAATTACAAAGAGGAAGATTAGGAGATGACAATGATGGTCCAGCCGATAATTTCCGAATTAAGAGATATATTGCCAAATACACCATCAATCCGTAAGTAGAAATTTTAATTGATATCTATATATATTATTAGCATTTTTATTTACATTTTTTTTTTTTTTTTATAATCATAATCATTATAGAGCTATAGCAACTGGCGTAAGTCATTTAATTGGATCTATAGAACCGGGAAAAGTTGCAGATTTAGTAATGTTTAATCCAGCATTCTTTGGATCAAAACCTGAAATTATTATTAAATCTGGTATAATTGTTTGGTCACAAATGGGAGATGCAAATGCATCAATTCCAACTACACAACCTGTCATTTCAAGACCAATGTTCGGTCACTTTGCTAGTGCGGCAGCAAAGAATTCGATTTCTTTTGTTAGTCAAGTTTCCATCAAAGAAGGAAATGTTCAAAAATATGGTTTGAAGAAACGTATTGAAGTAGTAAGGAAATGTAGGGGTATCGGCAAGAAAGATATGAAATTAAATGATTCTTTACCTAAAATTGAAGTTGATCCCGAAACTTACGTTGTAAAAGCAGATGGTGTTGTCTGTACTTGTGAACCTATTCCAAAATTACCTTTAACCCAAACTGTTTATTTGTTTTAAAAAAAAATATTGTCGACACGTTCCTAGTTTAATAAGTTAACATGCTTACATTTATTTATATTGAAAAAAATCTTATTAAGAAGTTTCGTTATTCATTAAAACAAAAAAATTATTTATTGTTACATTAATATTACAAATTTACTTCAGAAAAAAAATGTAAATACCTTGACAGTACTGTGAATACATACCCGGTTTTAAAACCTTTACAAATTCTCCGAGTAAATTGGTCATATCATAGTAAATGATATCAAACAAATGATTG